ATCCTGCCACGGAGTCAGCAGGGGTAAGGATGGGCAGGCAAGTACCAACCCCACATCCTCAAACACCACCCTCTTCCTTCACAAGCCAGTTTCTCCCCCATACGAGAAACCTCCGTTCCACAGCACGGCAGCCTCCAGGCTTTGCCTGCGCCTCTGCCTGCCTCCATCAGAAGCCAGGAGCACAGAGGTGATCGGCCAAAAGCGCTGGGCCAGAGGCAAGACCAAGGCAGGCTAGAGGACTGGCCGAGCACGCTGGCCATTCAAACCATGCCAGCTTTGACTGCAGGCTGAGCAAGTACCCACGGATCCTCGGGTCTAGGGAAACCCTCCCACTCCTCCACCAAAGCCAGCTAACCCCTCAGGCCAGCAGAGGTGCCGTAGCCCACTGACCCCAGAAGGCCACTGTCCTCACCAAGATGTTCCACGTGGTTTTCTTTTCCGGGGAGGTTTTGCTCAGACTCGCCAGTTTCTTTCTGCCCCCGGCACCGCTCTCAAAGAAGGTCAGGAAGTCTCCCGCCTGCTCTGAGCTTTAGCCCGAATCCAGGGAAAGCAGAGAGGAGGAGAGAACACGTATTCTGGAGTTAATATTGCATGTAGACACATGGCAACGAGACAGCAATAGCAGGGTTCTCATCCCGCACAGGCTGCTCCAGCGAGAAGCACGCTCTGATTGCGGCAGGGCACTCTGACACACGCACAGCATAGAGCCGAGGCACACCTACCGCCTGCCATTGCGACACAGAGGAGAAAAGGGATGGAAAATCATTACCTAGTCATGAAATCTACAAATTATTCGTTTTTACACAGAGCTTTAGATTTCAGCCTGATGTGCGGAAATAGAATATATTAAAGGGATGGGTACAAGGCAACAAGAGAACGGAAAATCATGATTCAGAGACAGCCCTAGGAGGTCACTGGGGACATAAGGAGAACTTTTCGTCTCCTAACACAGTCCAGTTATGATCCAAAGGGTCCAGGAGGGGCTGTTGTAATTGAACAGTCCCATCCCTTGGAATTAAACTGAGTGTCCTTTGTGACAGAGGCTTTCCAGCTGCAGAAATACACTCTGTTTCCCCAAATCCTAATCAAGTGACCTCGCCTCCAAAAAAACCCAAACAAAAACACAGTCCTTGGCTTTCCAAGGCCGGATTATAACCTCTGATGTGTATGACAGAGCTTAATGCACATTTTTGAAAGGCTCTGGTTCCCTCCCAGGATGAGAGGTCAGACAGATGGGTGGGTTTTCACACAGTCCCATCCACAGGACAGACAGACACACATTGGTGGCTGGAGCTGTACCTGTGCGTGCTGTTCACCCGCTGGTTAACGTGGGTGGTGCTGTTGGACCTCCGGAGGTTGTTCATTGCCCGGGATCCCGCATCTTCCTGCGGAGGAGAGAGCTAAATTCAGCAACAATGCTAAGGAGAAGCACGGGCAGGCGGAGCTGGGATGCCTGGCCTCGGCAGGCTTCCCCCGTGAATCAGGCATCCTAAAATAGCACTGCTGGCGGTGCTACCCTTCCACCCCCTTCAACCCAGCCCCGACACGATGTTTCTGATACCCCCACGGCTGCCAACCTCTCCTTGAGGCAGAGAGCAATGACACCTCGCTCACTCTC